ATCTAGGCGATTGGAGCGAAGAGTGGCAACTGACTTTCAACCCAGACAACTGCGGTATAACCCACCTGGGACGCTGGAAACCGATAATGTGCCTATATATGTACGGTAAGCTCCTCTCAAAACTGAACACAGATCTCGGGATAACATATTTTTTATTTTTTTTTATATTTTTGTTTTTGATTACAGCTTAATCCCACACTGTATTTTTGGTACAAGTGTGGAATTTTCAGCGTGGATATCGGTAGCCCAAATTTTGCAGGCCAACCAAAGATATCAGGTGTGCGTCGGCGTGGGCTCGAACCCCGGACCATGTGCATGGTCGGCGGGAGTCCTAACCCCTATGCCATCGACGCACATACTCAGATTTATCCTTCTCCGATCATGCAAACAAGGTTGTATCTGACTGTAAACGATTTACTGGCTTTGTACTGCGTAACTTCTACACCCAAGAAGCAAGATTAGCTATATATAGGACATGTATCCGTCCCAAACTTGAATATTGTGCTCTCCTATTTAGTAACCTCAGGACTGTAGACAGAAAAAAAATCGAAAGTGTCCAGAGATTCCTCACGAAACGCATAATAGGGTTCGACCAACAAGTGGAATATGTTGACAGGTGTGTACGTCTGAAATTAGAGCCTCTGTGGTTAAGGAGAGTGAAGTGCAACCTATTTCTACTCTTCAAAGTCATTAGGAAACACTGCTACAGTAACTCATCCATAACGTGGGAAAATATTAAATCATATCAGCTGCGAAACCACGACTACCTTGTCAAGGTGGCTACCCACAGAAAATCCATTAGGGCAAACTTTTTCACCATAAAATATTGCACTCTTTGGAACCAACTACCACCTGAAATAAGATGTTGTGAAAACCCTGATGGGTTCAAACGGAGCCTAGAAAGACACTTTAACATGTCCACCCTAGCTCGTCTAAAAGACCACAACTGTTGGTAGAACGGAAATTGAAGGCCAGTCCAGTCTTCAGTATAGTCACATACGTATATCTCGACTCTAATACTCACGCAGCGAACGTTAACTAATTTACTGATTTCTATTCTCTATAATTTTCACTAAGTTGTGTTGGTAAAAGTAACACTGGAAATAATTGTAATAGCATCCACACCTTTTAACGTTTTACATATGTATATACTAATATAATAATACTTATTAATCATGCATGTTCAATTCTTAAATTAGATGGTTATTAAAATACTTAAAATATTTATGCATCAAATGTTCTCTTGCTTTACCACGCTTGTTTCCCTTATAACACTCAATTATTGAGCCTAGTGTATTATTTGATATACGAATAATATTATTGATTATACTCTTATCATATATGGTTTGATTTACTCTACGGCTCCCTGTAGACTAACTACCATTCTTCAGTATACACACACTGCAGTATTGTTAACAAATGCCAAAATTTTGTTGGTTCTGTGTTAATATCTTTTTATAATATGTCTAGACACGTTACTTTGCAATGTCAGATGTTTACTATATATAAGTACACTAAGTCCTGCCAACCGACCTTACCTTCAGTCCATACTACCTAAATTGAACCTTAACTATAGTGTTCTGCTAAATCTTGCTCCACTATTCACAATACCTATTCGTTTTACTCTTTAAGGTTTTAACTTCTTATAAAGTAATCTGTTCATCAGGATGCATGCACACATATATAATATGTTCGTAAAGATGTACGTGGAGACCTATTGGAAGCACTCATTAAGAAAGCTAGGGAGATGGAATATGGGGTACGAACATGTCTGGTACCAAGCAATATATTTGCGGTAGCCATAATAATCATAGTCTCAGAGCCTAACATCAAAAAAGGAGGGAGGGTGGCGTTAGCTGATCAGTAGATATGGTGGTGGTCACTAAGGTGAATCGCCCCATTCTGCAGGAACAGCAATATACAATTTGAAGGCTCGAGATATTTCTGATTTTTATGAGGGCTTAGATCTTTATCTTGAAAAAGATAATAATGAACGCCTTGACAGATCATGCTTCTACCTTTAAATATATACCATTCGCTCAGCCTATTGTTGAGATGCGACCACGTGGGATCTGCACAGATTTATGGGGCATCTTATAAATTAACTTGCTATCCATTGTCAGATCTTTAAATACCACTTCACAATGTCTTGTCTCACTTATTTTCTAATAACGTCTTTACTTGATCCTCATTATATTCCATTAAACCTAACATTTTATAGCTCTTTATGAATTTGATTCGACTTATTCTATTCCTATTCTCTGGAGGGTACGGTTGTGCACCAAATGTACAAAAAAGCATGAAATAAAGACAACTGGCTTGAAAATAATTGTATTAAAGCCAAAAGTGGACATCATGATAGTACGAATATATTGGTTTTATTATACATTGCAAATGAACGTTGTCGGCCTAGGGATTAATTACTTTTCCATTCTATTTCCTATATTATGATAATAATTTTTTATTTCTGTAACAGAAACCAGCCATTTTTACAGGCATGAACATATGTACACTTATGAAAACTTATAGAATATATGATATGATTTGTTAATTTAGGAATAAGTTGAATACTGGTAAATGTGAAAGAAACATTTAAAATGAAGTGTACAAATAAGGAAATAGATATAGCGTCAAATCTAAACTGTGATTGAAAAAAAAATACATGTCAATTTCACGCGGGAATCATAAATGATTGCGTTAGTTGAGGAAGGTAAGTGGCATTTCTGTACAGGTGCTGACGTATTACATAAGAGATGCAGAATAAACAATAATTATCAGTAAATCATTCAGAAAGAGTTTTAAAGTCTATTAAACTTTAAATTTACCTGTAAGTACATCATATTTGTGACATTTCCAGTTGTTTATGAGACCCACTTTGAACTTGTCAACAGATTTTATAATACCGATGATCCCGTTATTCACCAGATGAGCTAGCAATATCACGAATAAGTAGAGAATTGCAGCGCTGTATCAGTACCTCCGTTGAAAGCAGTATGTTTGAAAAGAGAAGAAGACACAAGAAATATAAATGTATTTATTAATGATATATTGCACTTACTTATTTTATTGCACTTTAATGATTCACCCTAGCACTTTAACTTTCTAGAACAGCTTCCAATCCCATGTAAACGTTGTACTTACCTCAATATTGGTCGGTTATCGTATGCCTACGACGACGGGATGAAAACGAAACGAAGTCGATTTTCCCGCGCAACCTGGAGGACAAATGTACAATTCAGTAACTATACGGCCTGGTTCAGACAATGAGTGTAATTATATGTATGTATCAAATATTTAACTGCTGAAACATTATTAACTTGTAGACAATTTAAGATTTGACATTATAACATACTTGATCGTGCCTGTAAAAATGGCATGCATTTTCATGTAAATTTATGTTTATATGAAAATAAAAATTATTATTAGTAGTAGTAAGTCTGGACGACGTATATGCCTGATTTTTTATGAGCTTGAGAGATGTTTAAAATGGCATCCCTTTCTTCTCTGGACTTCGTACAACTTTGTGAAGGTATACATGCCATTTAATGTAGAGTCAGGCTCTTGATCGGTTCTATACAAGCTGTGTATGCCTGATACCGTTTTTGATGGTAGCTTATTTAAAAAGGGGCTTGACCAAGTTAAGGTAATTCTCGAAACTCGCCTTGGGATGGGAAGCCAGTGATTCTTCCACTTTATAGAGAATGAGCGACTTGTCAGAGATTTCAGGTTTGTTTGCCCTGGTTTTCTTGCCCTGCGGCGTAAATGCCTTTCCGTCATTTGTGGGCACTGCGGTGAGTATGTTATCCTTATCTTGCTTTTTGCGGTAGACTACATTACTCCATCCATTGGCCTCCTCCTCGCTATCTGCTGTCGACCCCATCTGCCTGCCATCCACCGGTGTGGATGATATTTGATCTACAAGTCCCTAGGCGACTTGAGTTGCAGGTTTTCGACCTCTGATACGTCTTTTCTTCGTGCTTGTCTCTCTATATTTATCGCTCGGGAGCTTATCGGGTATTGTAGGGGTAGCAGGGTGTCTGGAATATGGTGGGCGTTCTTCTGTGCTGAAGGGAACTCACTCCCTGACAGAGACAAATCAGAAACGTGTACTGTTTTATCTACGACACTAGTCACGTCATGGGTGTCTGAACACTAGTCATTCTTCTCTTATGATGAAGGACCCCTGCAGTCCAGGAGCTTAAAACCCCCACTGACATTGGCAATGGCTTACTTTGTATGAAATTAAGTCAAACTACGGCAGCCATTGCATAGCAAGTTCTCCAGAGGTTTTCAGTAGCGCTTGTATGCTGCAGGAGATAGGTTTGTGCACATGCTGTGAAAACATATCTTGCAGTCATCACACTACATCCATTCTGCGACATAACTCATCCACAGCGGTTCAGTTTGATAGACATGCCTTTCAGAGTGAATTGGGACGAAAAGATTCAAATATGACTTCATATATATGACCGTTATAAATGGATGATAAAGAAAACCAAAGAGCACAGAAAAAATATATAACTATTAAGTTATAAGAATACAACTTCCTATAATTCACTAGACTCAAAACTGAAACATAAACTAACTTCGATCAGAATAAACTGATTTAAAGCTAATCTGGAGACTTTTGGAGCGTATAACACAACAAAAGCCGAAATTGAACAAGAGCATGTAAAATGCACTGCCTTTTCAACGTTCGTGCGCACATAACCTACACTAGTTATATCCGTTACTGTTATCATCTCATTTCTTGTGTCGACTATACCAGAGGGCTAACTGGTGAAAGAATCAACTCCATTCACAGTAGCAAGATGGTCTCAACACACCGCATACTACAAACTGCATATAATTAGTCCCAGCAACACTCCTTTTGAGGTAAACCAAAGCTACGACAGTCAAGTGGCGGGACGAACTACGCAGAAGTTTACCGAAGACCAAGAACCTTTAACTCACAAGCAAGAGGCTAAGAAATCAGGTTGGTTTACACAAGCTTGTAAAAACGATATTGGATATCGGATAGGTCGTGTCCTTGAGAGTGTTACGGTGGGAATTTCGTTTGATAATCGAGGTCGTCTATGATTGTTAGTCCGTGTTGTCGAATTATCAGGAGTAGTTGCATAAGTAGTCCAGGATTACTCCGTCCTCGCCTGGTCTATTTGTCTCCATCACATATTAAGATACTGAGTAATCATGCTCGGTTATTTGTCACAAAAAACAGACAGTCAAACACACCATATTCCTCATTTATCATTGATACAAGAAAAAGTGCTCAGCGTGACTCTGAAGCATCAAAAGTCCAGACAGACCTCAATGATATTTTGAAGGATCAGCCGCCTTCAGTACAACTCAGGCTTGTAGATGCTTATCGCAAAGGGTTCCAGTCATCAACTGAGAAAGAAAAAGCATCTAAGAAAATCGAAACAGTCGCAACACTCCTTGGCAAATTCGCTATTATTGGAGTATGTGTATATTTTGTCATTAAGTTGTCGAACAAAGTATTTGGTGGTAATCTCTTTTTCTGTTAATACTATGTATCAAATTGAATCCTAGGTGCATTCCCTAAGATGCTAGACCCTAGCGTGGCATCTTTCGCAGAAAATGCTGATGTGAACTTTAATGACGTCCAAGGCGTAAGTCCTACTCAAAATAGATAACAGTTTAGTGCGATGAAGTGAAAAAGGAGCTCCAGGACATAGTGGAATTCCTACGCAATCCAGAAAAGTTCAACCGCATAGGAGCTAAACTTCCCAAAGGTGTTCTCTTGGTTGGCCCTCCTGGTGTTGGAAAAACATTGCTCGCTAAGGCTGTTTCTGGTGAAGCACAAGTACGCCTGAACTTATATTCCAATAGATTCTCCAAACTTAAATTGCCTATCTTTTTAATTATATTTAATTATATACAAAATCTCCTTGTTTAAACACTTCGTAGGCAGTGTGAATAGCCCAGCGTCATTAACTTATACATTTGTGTTTGTAGAGTCCGTTTCACTATGTAGTACCATGGGTAAGTTTTAGGAAGCGGAAGGATCGAAAGTGATGTTGTATCCTACTCCAGGAGTAAGTTTAGTAATTCTAATAATGGTAAAATCACTAACTCTATTAGAATGGTTGTTTAAAACGTAATTCGGCGTCCTAATTCTCTCTTTACGGTATCATTCACCACACTGTCAGTTTAGCGAAATATGTCACCTAACAAAAGTTTAACTTGGTTCATAAAGACAGTTGAAATGCAATCTTAGTAAGAACGTCCATATGGATGATCGATCAGTTATTTTGCAGCTAATTTCTTCTTAATAGGTCCACCTATACTGTGTAGAGCTATTGTTTAGATATAGATTGTTCAGATACGCAGCCTTTTTATCATTAAGCCATCGTACTGTCATTTAAATTCATTCTTGAGTTAATAACGAGACTTTCTGTAGTAATTTAGATATTTGAACAGTCATCTTTTTTTCTCACTTACTAGGGTTCATTGTTAATCATTATAATCTATTATACTTATTTTTATTGTTTATTTTATTTATTTGCGGCGTTCCGAGTGGCATATAGAGATTCAAGCTTGAGCTGTGAAGTTTCAGTAGCAGTGGTGTTTGTTTTACACAGGGTGGTTTTGCTATCCTCCCGCCCAGTGTCCTCTCCTTACCAGGTTTTTTTTCCTTCACGTTCCCAGTGGAACATAGGGCCTCAAGCTAGTGGCTAGTTTCTGTAGCAGTGTTTAATTTTTACAGGATGGAGTTGCTAACCTCATGCGCAACCTTTCCTCTTTACAAGCATTATTTCTGGCTCAGCGAGGTAAAGGAGTGCGTCGACCGGGGGTCGAACCCCGGACCATGCGCATGGTCGGCGAGCGTCCTAACCGCTATGCCACCGACGCAACCTTACCAGGTTTACTACCTGTTAATTGAGGCTAAAGGGTGCATTGGCTGAGGATTAAACTCTGGTCCACATGCGTGGCTGGCGAATATTTTACCACAAAACCACCGACGCACAATCTTTTGAACATATAAATAATTGTAGAGCCAAAAGGGAAATTGTTTTTCCTTATCATAGTAACTAACGCTATGCTGAACTAAATAATTTGCGTGATTACAAGCAAGTTTCATCGTCCTACATGAACTGTATGATGATAGATCTATGTGATGCATGATTTCATTACTTTCAGTCAACACACTTTTTTCTCCCTATTTATAATCACCTTGATTCATAAGACAGCCTAAATTTGGTCGTGTTTTCGAAAGTTATCAATCCCTGATATTCTATAAATATGCATTAATTATTCTTTTTGTAGGTTCCTTTTTTGTATGTATCCGGAAGCAGCTTTGAAGAGGTGTTTGTCGGACTTGGGGCTTCTCGCGTTAGACAACTATTTGCTGCTGCTAAGCAAAACTCACCTTGTTTAATATTTATTGACGAAATTGATTCTGTTGGCAGAAATAGAACATCGTCACCTCATCATCCGTATGCAAATCAAACAATCAATCAACTTCTTGCAGAAATGGATGGTTTTCAGTCAACGGAAGGCATTATCGTTTTGGGTGCAACAAATCAAGCAGAGGATTTAGACAAAGCTTTACTGAGACCTGGCCGTTTTGATGTCCAGATTTTTGTATCTCCACCAACCTATGAAGTGAGTTATCGCATCTTTGTCCAGTCCTGAATACTAGACTGTTGACTTTTAAATAGAGTAGATCTATGGAGTCAGACACATACTTACCTTGAACAATAGGTGTGATTTATTACCTGATTGAACCTGCAAGTCATTGCTGAGTTATTATTATATAATATGTCCCCAGAAATTGTTATGGTTTGATAACTGGGTTTTTGTTTCTACTAATTGTTAAATTTTTTTTCCTTCACATTCCCGGTGGAACATAGGGCTCCAAGCTAGAGGCGTGAAGTTTCTGTGGCAGTGTTAATTTTTACAGGATCGGTTGCTAGCCTCATGCCCAACCTTTCCTCTTTACCAGTCTCACTACTGGCTTAGCGAAGCAAAGGAGTGCGCCGGCCAGGGGTCGAACCCCGGACCACATGCATAGTCGGCGGGCGTCCTAACCGGTGTGCCACTGACGCACAATTGTCAAATATACCTGATGGTAAAAAAATGTCTCTATGCCTGTTTTTATACATAATTCTTCCCTCTGACTGTTATTTTATTCTTCTACTGCCATTCGGGTTTAAGGCATTCCTGATTCTTCTGCCCTTGATTTTCTCGAGTTCTTCTCAGTCTTGAAATTATTGTGGAGCCTAGGATCTTCCATTAATGTTAGTCATGCTGACCTCCTGATCCCAGGAAAGAGTTTTCCTTTCTTTATAGACTCAAATTACCAATTACCCATCCCACAGAATTGTCTTATGAGTCTTTTTTACACTAACTGGAATCTTGGTTATTTTACGCAGTAATTCGCTGTCAGCATTCCTGAACACTTCTGAAACCTGATGATTAGATCCTGTTATTTTACCTTACTTTAGTTTAGAAACAACGGCAGTTATCGGCCGATATTATATGCATATATATATATATATATATATATATATATATTATATATATATATATATATATATATATATATGTAGGTGACTTATTCACTATAAAGTGAATCAAATAATTTGCAGTTGGTATCAACTAAGACATGAGACTAATTTGTGGCCATTGACTGTTAGTCTGAATGGCTAAGGAGAAAAAATAACTTTTTGGCTAGTGTCGTCGTGAAGTTAAGAATCAGCTATTTATTATTTCTGTGCAACTTAGTTACCCGGAGCCGGTTTTTCATGTATCAGGTTATGAACCGTAAATATTATGTGACGTCTAGTGATATTATCCACTTACATAAATTGAAGTCAGTGGGGTACGACTCGGACTCAGGACCCACTGACTGGTTGTCAATTGCCTAAACCAGTGACCCATATCTCCATAAGGAATCGGGTGGCATGTTCCATCATCCTCGGGCTTCTAAACATTGTCGTTACTCTGAATTTAACCATTTTCCTTCCCGTCAAACTTTTTTCTATCCATGTTCTCTTCTTTTTTGTGTCTTGCTCTGAAGTGTGAAAAAATCGAACAAGTGCAGTGTTATGTTATACCTTTGTTATTATTGTTGTGTGTAGAAAACACTTATTCAATTGTCCCATAGTGAGTGCCAGAGCAAACAGCTACTTTTATGATCTCAGATAGGCAATTTCCTTAGACTCAGTACTATTTCCCAAGGTAACTGTAATAAGTCGATAAGACCGTCTAGGGTAAGTATACAAATAATCATAGTTCAAAGGTTTTATTGGTTACATTTTATACGATTTGCACATTATCACGTTCAATTTGGGTTTAAGGCAGCTTAGTTTAGAGTTATTGGGCTTTGATATCTTACATAACTTAAAGTTCCCGGCTTGACTGACTGGTTTCAGCATAGAACTATGCACCGATCTGCATCAGTTCGAGTCGCCACACTCCATGTAGTACATGAAGTAAGAGAAAAAAGTAAAAAATGCAAAATAGAGACATTAAATAGAGATATAAGGTAAAAAGAATGGTAATATGGAAGAACCATATAGTTTCACTAGATATTATAAATCACAAGAAGTGGATGCATCTGCGCCATTGAGAACAGGGATTTTGAGCCATATCAATAGTTAGCTCCAGCCTTCATTGGTTTTACCGTCCCGATGACCCCAACCTGGAAGTCTACACCTTCCTACATGATTGTCTTAAACTAACTGTTGTGGGTTTCATCGACTGATGAAGCCATGTTTTCGTTTGACCATCAGTGGCTCTTTTCCAGTCTGATCAATCCTGTCAGCTAACATTGCCCGTCCAGGAAGGCAGTGCTAGAGATGCATATGTAACACATGGCATAACCATCTCAGTCGATGTAACTTTACAGCCTCGTCGATTAATTTCCCCTCCTTACCTACCACTCAACGCCTTACCACAATATTTCTAACCTCATTATTCCACTTCACACGGAAGATAGAACGCAGACACCTATGATCGAAGACAGCTAGCCAGGCTTTTCATGTCTTACACTGTCAATGGCCAGGTCTCACAGCCATAAAGGAGGACGGGGCGGACTTCTGAGCAGTACACCCTCCCTTTTGTCGACAGCCAGTCAAATATCACGTCTACGCCAGATAGGGCGTAAACTGGCATATGCGAAACTAGCCTTCTGTATCCGTGCTGAGGTTTCGTCAGCGCTCTATTTCCCGTGTAAAGTGGCATAATAAGGTGAGCAACATGGAGGTTAGGCGTAGAGTTCTAGGTAAACAGAGGAAATCCATCGACGAAGTCGTGAAGCTACATCGACTGAGATGGTTAGGACATGTGTTACGTATGCCAAGCCATCGCCTCCCTCGATGAGCAATGTTAGCGGATATAGGGTCAGGCTGGAAAAAAGCTAGCGGCGGTCAAACAAAAACTTGGCATCAGTCAATGAAATCCACAACAGTTGGTCTAAGCCACGTAGGAAGGTGTAGACTTCCAGGCTGGGGTCCTCGGGACGGTAAAAATCTATGGTTGGAAACAATTGGTGACATGGCTCAAAATAGTTCTCAGTGGCGCAGATGCATCCACTCCTTGTGACTTATGATCTCCAATGAAACTGCTTTGTATTTCTTCATTACTCCTTTGTCTCACCCCTCTGCTCACTGTTTCTATTATGCTTTTCTTGTACTTTCTCTTGCTTCGCGTGCTACACAGAATGTGGCGACTTGAACTTCCGCACATTTGTGCAAAGTTCTATGTCGAAAACAGGGAGGCAGCGATCAACCCATTGGCGTTGGCTGATGCAATTTCCCAAATAAGTGAAGTGGTCAACACGCCCTACCGCTTCACACCCTATTTCCAAGCTAGAAGTCAATGTAGTCCAGTCTTATAGCATCGTCTTGCATTTGGGAGGAGCAAATCGTATGCCAAACATTCGTAGATTGCAGCTGAAGGTGTTCAGAAGACCCTGTATTTTGTCAGCGTCTTCACCTAGAAGGACTATATCATCTGCCTATTCTGTGTCAACGAGATTATATCCTGGTAACATGTCAATCCTTGAGTCGCTGAAGTCACTTAAGTTTAATGCCATTAGTACATCTATGATGAAATTGAATAGAAATGGGGATAGTGGGCTGACATCCCTAACGGACACCACTAGTTATCACCAGTTCAGATGACAAGCTTTCCGCTTAGATACTAAGAAATCAGTGAGAGGTTATAGATAGCAGCTTCAACGTTATACTCAACTGGGGATCATCAATTGTTCGCCCTCTTGATTTTCAACCAAGAAGTCGCATGGTTTGCCCAACCCGGACACAGCTTCATTAGATTATACTTGATTGAATTGCACTAAAATGATACTGTACTTATTCATGTTGAAGAACAAAAATATCTTTAACCGCTTTAAAGAAAAAAACACACTTTCTATTTTAGGGCAGACTGGCTCTTCTCAATCTTTATTTACGCAAGATGAAAACCAGTCCAAATATCGACGTTGAAAAACTAGCTCATGGAACTGTTGGCTACACAGGTGCAGATATACAAAATCTAGTCAACCAAGTAAGTTGTTGGTCTTTGTTGTTAAGGCTTTTTTTCTTCCCCCAAATGTGTTTTGTATTTTTACTTCGTCACCTCACTCGTCCACTCCATGAAGATAGTTAAACTACAACTAAAGTTTTTTTAAAAATATTGTTTGAGTTCTCATGAAAAAAAGACTTTAGGAGTGAATTTAATTTCACTCCACAAAAGTAATATTGACATTTGGGATATATTTTATTCTATCAGCCTCCTGACTCGAATGTTCTTCTACAGAATAAGTAACTGAATGTGTCTGTCTCTTTTAATGCATCCATCAGAATGATGAACATATATGCGGGAATTCTGGCCAAATAATTGGTTGATGACGCCATTGTTGGAGAAGGTGTGGAAAGAGGGCAAAGTACCCGAGGATTGGAAGAACGGATACTTATTCAAACTACCAAAGAAAGGAGACTTAAGTCAATGCAAAAACTGGCGCGGAATTATGCTCCTGTCCATCTCAAGCAAAATACTAAGCCACCTCATCCTGGAGAGAATCAAACAAGCCCTGGATGAAAAACTTCGACCGGGACAGGCCGGATTCAGGAGAAACAAATCATGTATTGATCAAATCGCCACTCTATGGATCATCATTGAAAAAGACTTGGAATGGCAGTCACCTCTCCACCTCACTCAACTTCATCGACTTTGAAAAGGCCTTCGTTAGCGCAGCGTCGATCGAGAGATGATTTGGGAACTACTTCGCTACTACGGGGTCCCATCGACAATTATACATCTCATCCAACAGTTATACGACAGTGCTGAATGCCAAGTAATCCACAACGGGAAACTTACGGAATCGTTCGAAGTGAGGACGGGAGTGAGGCAAGGCTGGCTGTCTACTATCGCCGATGATTTTCCTGACTGCAGTTGATTGGATAATGCGACAGACAACGGGCAATGAGGAAACAGGCATAAAATGGACTCACACAAAAAACTTGGAGAATCTGGACTTCGCCGATGATATATGTCTGATTTCCCACAAACTGGAAGATATGCAAGTGAAAAGCAACAAGTTGGCGATAGAAGCATCCAGAGGAGATAGGACTCCAGGTGAACATAGATAAAACAGAGGTGATGAAGATTCCTGACCAACACCAACAGACAACAATCAGCATAAATGGGAGGAACCTGCAAGAAACAACCTCCTTTACTAACCTACCTGGGAAGCATCGTTTCAACTACAGGCCAACGGAACTGACGAGGATATCAAAGCCAGAATCGGAAAAGCAAGACAAGCTTTCATTACTCTTAAGTCTGTGTGGAGGTCAACAGCACTCAGCATGAAAAATAAAATCCGGATTTTCAACTCCAATGTGAAGTCAGTGCTACTTGCTATACGATCGGATCAGAAACTTGCACTGCGTGTCATAAAGAGCATCTCAAACAAACTTCAGACCTTCATTAACAGTTGTCTTCGCTCAATACTCAAGATCAGATGACCAGAAAAGATCAGCAACAAAGATCTCTTGGAGCGAACCAACCAGGAACCGATTGTGAAACAAATAAGCAGGAAAAAATGGAGATTGATTGGCCAAACTCTGAGGGAACCATCAGTTGACATCACTAGACAAGCCCTCAAGTGGAACCCGAAAGGGAAGCGGCGAGTTGGTTGTCAGTGTGAGGGTGACATGGAGGAGGTGATGTGAAGAGGAGATGAAAGCATGTGGGCAGACCTGGAGCGGAGTGAAAAAGTTGGCAGAAAAAAGAACACAATGGAGACGTGCAGCTGAAGCCCTATATTCCTCTAGGAATTAAAGGATATAATAATAATATAAAAATGATATTGCATGAAGAGGGGCACATACTACTGAGTAGTATGATATGAGTAATCGGATAGTATACACGTCGACTAACAACATTTACTAGCCAGATCAAAGTTATATAAGCACCAGACGACTGTATGAAGTTGAGGTTATCAGTTGTGTACCCTGTTTGACTCAACTCAGAGTCGAAATCACTTCAAACCACCTGAGTCTTTTATGAACTGGAAAAATTGGCTGTTGAGTGTTTAGATCACTTCGATCTGGCGGGTTATCAGGTGCTGCTGGCGTTAACATGATGATTGCCCCCGCCACCCCCCCCCTAACTGCTCATATCAGTTAGCAGTAAATATCATCTTTCATTGATCACTAGTAACTAGTGTGATGTGTCTAGTGTTTAGTGCAGACTGAATTCTATCAGTCACGTTCGCAATATGGCCACCATTAAGCTCGCTCGTGGCTCGCCATCACGATGCACTTTGAATTGTTAAGATGTTAGATGGTTGGAGGCAATCAGCCACAGGAAGCCCAGTCTGTTGACCTAGGTTTCGTGCTAGTTGGTACTCATCAGTCAGCAAGGCGTATCCTCAACCACCTTGAAGGAAGTCATGTCCAGTATCAACAAATACCACCTTGTAGTCTTACATATTTTTTCTTGATTACTACTAATGGTGTTAAGCAGATCACGTATTTTTTTATCCGAATACTTTGAGTGTTTTTTTTCAGTGGAAACTATAATGAATCTCCATATAGAGTTCTGTAATTTGTGAATTGCGAGTTTAAATTTAAATAATAAATGTTTCAGACAAAAAGATTCTAGAAGATTTTGACCTGGTGGTAGACAGACGGTTTATGTCTAATGTCACATAGACTCGAAGATCTACAAGCGAATACCGACAAGTTGGCTGAATAGGTAGGGAGAGAAGACAGGAGGACTTCAAGTGAACATTAGAGAAGACCAGTAAGTAACAAGCAGTAGTTAGTATTAGTTGGAAGATTTCATCATGAGCTGACATCGCTTAGGCAACCATTGGCTGACCTGGGAGTACTGCCAGATGGCTGTATCGTCTGAGTTTGGGACTCTTCAGCAGTTTTTTGAAGTGATTCTGTAACCGATGTCAGCTCATGATGAAATCCTTCAACCAATCAAACAAAAAATCCCTGCAAAAAACCAATACTTGATAAGTAGTCAGAAATATGATGAAAGCCACTTCTGTCGCTTGTCTAGACAGCATTATTGCAGCTACAGGCAGCAGCACAGATGATAACATCAAGGCCAGACGGGATATACTGAAGGTTAGAAAGAATTAACATCAAGGAGCTCCGGTAATGAATTAATCGAGAATATATATTGCCCAAAAGAAGATGCCGAAGAAAATGGAGATGAATTGCTGCGTACACACTGAGGAGACCGTTGAGTGAATCTAAGGGAATAATCATAATTACAAAAAATAATAACAGTTTCATCTCAATCATATTAAGGCCTAGCAGTTTGTAATATCTCTGTACCGTGATGCTAAACAGTGTTAAACTAAATTAGAAACTATTCAGTCTGTCTGTCTGTCTGGATTCAACATAGAACTTGGCACCGAAGTGCAGCAGTTCGAGTTGCCACCTTCCAAATAGCACACAGAGGTAGACAAGAAGATGAGTGAAGAGAATTAATAGAGTTTGACAAATATAAGAGTGAAACAGAATGGGTAATGGTAGAAAGGAATATGAAAGATTACAGAGATTGAATACATCTGCGCCATTGACAACGATTTTGAGCCATGTCACCTATTGTCTCCAGCCATTGATTCCTAGAGTCCCGAGGGCCCCAACCCGGGAGTCTGCATCTCCCTACCTGACTCAGTTTAACTGTCAAGGATTTCATGGATTGATGCCATGTTTTTGTTTGGCCACCACTGGCTCTTTTCCAACCTGCACCTATATCAGCTAACAATGCCCGTCGGGGGAGGCGGTGGTTAGGCATGCGCACCACGTGACCTAGCCATCTTAGTCTATGTAACTTTATAACCTCGTCGATTGATTTTCCCTCTTTGCCCAACACTCTACGCCTAACGTCAACATTACTTATCTTGTGAAACCACCTAACGTGAGACAGAGATCGCAGACATCTATGATCGAAAGCAGTCAACCTTTTCATGTCTTCAACGCGTATTGGCCATGTTTCAGAGCCATAGAGAAGGACGGAGCGAACTGATGAGCAGTACACACGTCCCTTGGTTGATAACCGGATGTCACGCCTACGCCAGAGATGGTGTAAGTCAGCGAAAGCAGCTCGAGCTTTTCGGATCCGTGCTGAGATTTCGTCGCCAATCAGTCCGCTGGTGCTAATACAACTTCCCAAGTAGGTGAAGTGGTCAACATGTTCTATCACTTCACTCCCTATCACTAAGTTAGGGGTTGACGTCGTCCAGTCCTGTAGCAGCATCTTACATTTTGCAGGGGCGAATCGCATGCCAAACATACGAAGATTGCTGCTCAAGGTGTTCAGAAGACTCTGCATTTTTTCAGCATCCTCCCCTAACAGGACTATGTCATCTGCATATTCTAAGTCCATTAGACTATTCCCTGGTAACAAGTCGATTCCTAAGTCACTACGTTCAGTTAAGGATACTTCCATTAGCATATCTATGATGAAGTTAAACAGAAATGGGGAAAGTGGACATCCCTGTCGGACACCACTGGTTGTTACCAATTCAGATGACAATTCCCCATAAGCCCTTACACGACTACGTGAGTTTGAATAGAGTGCCTTGATTAGTGCAATGTACTTTCTTGGCACTCCCTTCACAGTCAGACATTGCCATAGTACCTTTCGATCCACGGAGTCGAAGGCCGCCTTCAAGTCAAGAAATATGACAATTGTTGGACGCCGAAAAGTGTGTCTATGTTCTAGAATCTGTCGAAGAGTGAAGATATGATCTATGCACCCTCTACCTGGTCTAAAGCCTGCTTGATTTTCCCTTGTCTGTTCCTCCCGAGTTCTGCTTAGTCTATGCATGATTACTGAGCCTAGGATTTTAGAGACTATGTTCGTTAGGCTGATCCCCCTATGATTATCACACGAGGACTTGTTTCCCTTCTTGAATATCGGTATAATAAGTGACTTACCCCAGTCTGATGGTACTGTCTCTGATTCCCAGACTTTGCCTAGTACCTCAGTTAATCTACAAACTAGTATGTCACCCCCATATTTAAACACCTCCGGAATAATTCCGTCGGGTCCTGCCGCTTTGCCTCGTTTCAAATTACTGATAGCTTTTGTAACCTCACCTACAGACGGCGGACCAGTGTCTATATCCCATTCGGGTACGTGGTGGATGGCGGGGAGGTTCAGTGTGGCTGTAGGCAAGTTAAATTGTTCCTCAAAGTGTTCTTTCCAGCGTTCAAGGCGTCTATCCTGAGAGCTAATTAAGGAGCCATTTTTCTCAGAAATAGTCTCACTTATGAATTGCCTTCTCCCGCCCGATTCTGTGATGAGTCTAAAGAGTTGCCTAGTGTTGCCTATCGCCAATGCTTTTTCCATCTCTTTCGCCTTTGTCACCCACCACTGTTCACGGTCCTTGCGGAGACTTTTAGTAAGTTTCCTTTTGTGCAGCTTTCGCTCCTCATTGAATTCGGAGCTCGCCGGAATAAGTCTTCTAGCATCTATCAGTTCGGATGAGGCAGTCGAAATCCAGTGGTTTTTACTCACCTTTGGATTTGTCTTATTCACAGCTTTTACAGCTGTATCTATAGCTGACTGAATATTCTTCCAGGCTTCTCCAGGGTGAGCACAGCTGTCGATTCAGATATGCGTTTAGCTAGTTCTTCCTCAAATAGGGATTTAGTTTCCTGATCGAGCTGGGGGCGTGATGGTTTTACCGCCAGCTGTTTCCTACGTCCGTTCAGTCGTAAGCACACACGAGCCCGGACCAGTGCGTGATCGGTATCTACACACGTGTTCCAGAAGGAGCGACAATCTCCTACCGACCCACGCCAACGATAGCTTATTGCTATGTGGTCTATTTGTGTCCAGCGTTGGTTTGATGATGGGGGTCGCCAGGTTAAACAGTGTCTCTCCTTGTGTTTAAAGTTAGTGCTTACAAGAAACAAATGATTATCTGAACAGAACTGTAGGAGACGGTCACCGTTGTCGGTTCGCTGGCACGGAACTCCATAGGTGCCACCGACATCCTTCTCAGATTGACACAATTTCCCTACTTGAGCGTTAAAGTCACCAGCTAGAACGACTATATCTGAGCGTTTAGCCTTTCTCACCAAACTAGACAGCTTTTGGTAGAACTCATCCTTCGTTTCATCCGAACTGCAGTCAGTGGGGGCGTAGGCGGAGATTACGAAAAGGCATCGGCGAGTAGTGCAGTCCTTTCTCCTTCTTACTGATCCGTTCAGACGGACAGCACACATTCGGCTATCTACTGGGATCCAGTCAAGCAATGTCTTTTCTGCCCTAGTACTCAGAGCTATCCCTACGCCAGCTAATCCCCGTGAACTAGCTGTGGCATCTCCTGACACCCTCAAGGTGAATTTTGAAGATTCATCCTGTTGGCCAGGTGGGGTTAGGTGAATAACCACACTTGGGTCTTGTATGCGTGTTTCTGAAACACAACATACATCAATGGCTCGAGATGCCAGGGTCTTAGCTAGTGATGCTTGTTGTCCTATTTGGCAAAGTGTCCTAACATTAAATGCTCCTATATGAAATTGGTGGCGTGGCTTTAGGAGACTATCCGTGGTGGTTTTTTGGCTTTCGTCGTTTTTAGTGGACACAGAGTGAAGAGGGAGTGAGGAGCCATCAAGTAGAGGAGTTGCATCACTGGGGGAAGGTAAGGTAATAGAGATGAAGATGAAGACAAAGATAAGTGAGGATTAGAGAGGTTTTGTGTGCATTTCGGATTGTGAGGGCGATTGTTACTTCCCGGCTGCCCACACCGTGGAAGTTGGTTGCGTGACCGCAGAGCCCAGGGGACAACTGCTTGAGGCCGGTCACACGCGGCCTGTTTTTGTTCGTTCTTTTTGTTTGGTGTGCCTCAGTAGCATACTTATCACTCCCGCCCTGTGACACGGCAGCAGGAAGCGCGGTCGTTGTTAATCCGGGCCACGGCCGATCCGGCATGAAATTTTGTGAATTTGTTTGGATCATGGTATTGGATGAGGTAGCTGCTTTTTGTTTAACCGCTATCCAAACAACCTGCCTGGCATGGTAGAACCTCAAGAGACATAAGTCTCAGCCAGTATAGCTTGATTAGGTCATTGCGGTGTTCAAGCCCGACCACCACGTCAAGGTAGCAGCTTTCGGTCGGGAGAAACTATTCAGGAATTATATAGTCATCATTCTGATAAGCGTGATAAGAATAGAGTAAAAATCCAACAGGAAACCATTCTGTCTTTTCCGTACGGCTTGATATATATTCAAACAAATCTAGGTCAAAATTAAATGACTGGTTCAAAATCATTTTGACTAGTTTAATGAGGCTGCTTGCCAGCGATTTAAGCACTGAGCTGTCCTCTTAACTGGATAATTTTCAGTCCACCACCAATAACCTTATTATTATTGTTCCCTAGGGTACCTAGTGGAACATAGGGCTTCAACTGCACGTCTCCACTTGCTTCTGTCTTCTGCTGTACTTTTCACCTGCATCCATGTTAGTCCATACTCCTCTTCACACGGTATCCTCCATGTCACCCTCGCACTGACGACCAACTCGCCGCTTCCCTTTCGGCCTGGTTCCACTCGAGCGATGTCTGACGCGTGCGAGATGTCATCCAGCGGCCTCCTCAGCGAGTGTCCAATCCATCTCCACTTTCTCCTGCATATTTGTTGGGCGATTGGTTTGTTCTTGTTTTGTTTGTTCCCATAGTTTCTTGTTGGTGATTTTTTCCACGTCCGGCCATCTGATCTTCAGTATGGAGCGAAGACAGTTGTTGATAAAGGCCCAATAACCTTAGTCTAAAACAAACGGAATAACTTTAAATTGTGGGTGTTTTACCAGGGATTTGGATTCATTACAATTTGGATTTCGTCATGAACTAGTTTCAGTGAAAGATGATTGAAAACAAAGGCGGCACTGGACAGCTATCTGTCTCACTCTGGTTTGGAACTCTGATCACTGCACACCTACAACCCCATACCCTTCCAGAATTGAACCCGTGACCTTCAGGTTACGAGTCCAAGTTCGTTGATCATACCCAGCCATTTAGGCCGAAGTCCAATGATTCATAAATTTGAACCTTGTCAGTTTGTGATGTAGAGATATTTTCAACGAGTGCCTTATGTGTCAAGTGTTCACTTCATCTTGAATTGTAGATAGACCCCAGTGGTCACAACTGCTCACTACACAGCTTCAGGACATCCATCCAGTAGCCATCGTAGGGTTTCGGATTAATTGTTGGATGTTTTGATAATTTCTGCCTGTCTGCCTGACACTGTTAATTGATGAAATGGACGTTTCTCTCTCTGTTCATACACTAATCAGCAATATGTTCTGTTAAGTTATGATGTTGTCAGTTATGAGTAGTTTTGATCTCCAACATAACAGCAGCTGTCACTGAGTTTCTTTGACCTGAAAGTGCGCAGTTGGCAAAGATTCGACATTTTGGAGTCAAGTGAAGAAAAGTAGCTGGTTCGTTCGATTCTCTTGTAAAAATGATTACTTTTGAACAAAGATAGAGCAAGTATTTAATTGGTGGATGGTGACTAGCAATGGAATCCAGGATGCGCATTTCGTCCTATTTGGGACTCGTCAGCCAGCTGGATGTACCTGCATTCCCCAGTGAGTGATGATGTTCCCACCGAGGTTCAAACCCAGTGCCCATAGTTTCAAACACCAAAGCGTTATCCACTAGACCACCTGGGCCACGAGAGCCACCTCTTGTACAACGGGTCGTATTAATTATTGAATTGAATTTTAGATTTTCCCGTCGATTGATTGGACCGAAGTGCTCCGTTTCAGATTGATATGTCGGCTTCTTGTGCAGATTCTTCGACGATGTCTAGTCATGTAATTAGAATTTAATTGGCAGATGTGACTAGCAGTGGAATCCAGGATGCGCATTTCGGTCAATCAATCGACGGGAAAATCGAAAAATTCAGTTAAATAATTAATATGACCCGTTGCACAAGAGATGGCTCTCGTGGTCCAAATGGTCCAGTGGATATAGCAACATTTGCTGCAAAATAGGTATGGATTTTTAGAAGGGACACATTAGCTCGCTGAAGATTGCAGATATGTCTTGCTGACTGGTGAGTGAATGCCAACAAACACGAAACCTTGATAAAGTAAGGCTTCCTGCCGATTGCCTCCGACCATCTAATATTTCGTTGGTTCTCATCAGCTGCGTGCAGCCTATGTGTATGTTTATCAAAATTTTCTAGATTTACCTCCATATAAATAAATCCCTTCCTTCCCTTCCTTTATAATTTTGTATTCAACAGTACTCAAAGAAAGTTTTAGAAGCTTCTTTCTGTAGTGTAGAGTTAATGCTAACTTCATATTATCTTTTTATATATTATGTGTTTTAGGCTGCTATCGCTGCTGGTTTACACAATGATCCTGTTATTGAAATGCACCACTTATGGGAAGCTCGTGATCGATTAATAATGGGACCTGCTAAACGTCGACCTTTAGATGAACAGACTAATCGTGTCTCAGCCTTTCATGAAGCTGGTCATGCATTAGTGGCATTGTTAACCGCTGAAAGTACACCATTACACAAAGTATGTGATTAGTCTTAGTTGTCTAAATATCCTTTTTAAATATCATATCATATATTTACTTAAAATAAAACGTATATGTACACAGAATTATTCGCTTTACTCCAGCTTCAAGATAGAGAATAAAGTGGTGTTGAGCGTGTTGAGCACTTTACTTATTTGAGAAGTTGCATCAGGGTTAATGGACAGCATACTGACGAAATCTCAACAGGTGATACTAAAGGCTTGTGTGGCGTTTGCTGCCAACTTCCGTGTTATCTATGGCGTAGACAAATGTCCATCTAAGGACGCATGTGTGTGTGTACTGCACACCAGTTCTCTGTATCCTTCCGTATAATTGTGAGACAAGACCATTGAAATTGGACGATATGAAAAGGCTAGTTGTCTTCGACCATAAATACTGTTTACATCTTATCACTGCGTTAAGTGGTATAATATATATATTTTTAAATTTTTTATTCCTATACGTTCCCATACATAGGACTTCAAGCTAGGGGATTGAAGTTTCCGTAGCAATGGTGTTTATTTTTACAGGATGGGATTGCTAGCCTCATGCCCAACCTTCCCTCTCTTTACCAGTCTTATTACTGGGTTAGCGAGGTTCAGGAGTGAGTTGGTGGCCGGGGATCGAACCCCGGACCACGTGGAGTGTGGTTGGGAAGCATTCTACCGCTGTGCCACGAACGCATCGACGGAGGACAGGTTTTCCAGGTCGACTAAGTGGTATAATATGGTGAATAGCATTGAGGTTAGACGTATATTGTCAGGTAAAGGAGGCGGGTAAGTAAATTGATGATATTGTGAAGCTATGTCTATGGAGATGACTAAGAATCATGTTACGCATTCTAAGGCACCGTTTCTCTCGACAAACTGTGTTAGATAACGTAGGATTAAGTTGGAAAAGAGTTAGGGGTTGGTTTGAGGCAGTAGTGGTGTAGGCAGATGCCGATTTGTTGGCCTCCTCGAAATGCTAAGAACTAACGAATGACCGGAGAGACTATCGATGATGTAACTCATAGTAGTAGTACTCGCAATGGCGCAAATGCATTTACTCGTCGCTTGTAATCTCTCCCATATCCACTAACAACTCTCATGTTTTCCCATATAGTACTATGCTTTCTCCTGTACATTTCTGCTTGCTTTATACTTCTTTCAAATCTCTTTTCTCTGTTTTTGTGTGCTATATGAAGTGTGGCGAACTAATCTGTTGTTGTTGCACTTATGTACAAAATAGTTCTGTGTTGAAGCAAAACTAACTTTAGTTAAGGATCACGTAGTCTCTAGACGCGACCTTGAAAAATCTACTAAGACAGGGATAGTATGAAGATCACTCGCTATTAGTTCGTTGTTTCATTCCATTGATTGTGTGTGAGGACTAGGATTACTGCCCGGACACCCAAACCGAGGCAGGTAGTTGTCTTTAAGGGACCACTCCTCCTCCGAGTCTTCGACATGATGTCTAATCCACAAGGCAGTGTCAGGAGCTACAGTCCCCTGGTTGCCGGTGACCATCAATACAGGTGCATACGCCACTTGATCCGATTGGATTCTAGAGCCCATGCACACTACACCGTAGTAAATGCTTTTTACTCTAACCGGTATCCAAACAACCTTCCTAACATGGTAGTAGAACCTGCAGGAACATAAGTCTCAGGCAATATAACATTTTGGGTCACTGCAGTATCCGAGCCCAATCACCACGACAAGGTAGCATTTGTCAGCCGGGGCTTCCTAGTAAGTAACCAATCAAAGTAATAGGTGGAGTTCTTCTGTCTGTTAGTTTCATGAAACTGGTGGATCACATTTTGAATAATAACTGGCAAAGGAAACCGGCTTTCTGTCTCTCTGTTTTCAACATAGAACTTTGCACCGATGTGCACCAGTTCAAGTCGCCACACTCCCCACATGTAGCACACAAAGCAAGAGAAGAAAGTAGAAGAAATGCATATTAGAGACAGTAAACAAAGGTGTGAGACAAAGGAGTAGTAATAACGAAGGACAATATAGTTTCATTGGAAACCATAAGTCACAAGGAGTGGATGCATCTGCGCCAGCCAGCCATCGAGAAGGATTTTGAGCCATATCACCAATTGTTTTCAGCCTTCATTGGTTTTTACCGTCCCGAGGACCCTAACCAGGAAGTCTACACCTTCCTACGTGGCTCAAACTAACTGTTGTGGATTTCATTGAGTAGTGCCGTGTTTTGCTTTGACCGCCGATAGCTCTTTTCCAACCTGACCCTATATCAGCTAACATTGCTCGTCGAGGAAGGCGGTGACTAGGCATCCGTAACATATGTCCTAACCATCTCAGTCGATGTAGCTTCACAGCCTCGTCTATTGATTTCCCCTCCTTACCTAGAACTCGACACCTAACCTCAATATTGCTCACCTTATTATACCACTTCACACGGAAGATAGAATGCAGGCACCTATGACCGAAGACAGCTAGCCAGGCTTTTCATGTCTTCCACTGTCAATGGCCAGGTTCCACAGCCATAGAGGAGGACGGGGCGAACTGATGAGCAGTACACATTCCCTTTGGTCGACAACCAGTCAAATATCACGTCTACGCCAGATAGGGCGTAAACTGGCATATGCGAAACTAGCCTTCTGTATCCGTGCTGAGATTTTGTCAGAGATCAACCGTTGGAACTGGCTGATGGTACTTCCCAAATAAGTGAAGTGGTCAGTGTGCTCTACCACTTCACACCCTATTTCTAAACTAGGAGTCAGTGTAGTCAAAGGAAAGTGTAGTTAGTGTAGAAAAGGAAACCGGTTGGTTGTATGATGGATCATTGTTAAAGATAAGATTTTTTGCTATTCATGTCATTCATATGTTATTATTATTATTATTATTATTATTATTAGTGTAGTCGATGCAAGATCATGTTATGTGATGAGAAATTCCACTAGAGGAAAAGTACAGTTCATTTGCCTGGCACGTGATGTCAATATAATATCTAACAATTAGGAATTCTTTGGCTTTACACTGTTATTACATGTACATCAATACTTATCCCACTGGTTTTCATTTCACACTGCATTGCTGTTATTATTATTATTTTAAATAGGTGACAATTATTCCCCGAGGTGAAGCTGGTGGTCTTACAAGCTTTTTACAAGAGAAAGATATGAGTTTTATGACACGTGCACAACTTTTAGCTCAATTAGATGTATTGATGGGAGGTCGTGTTGGCGAAGAGCTGGCCTTTGGGACAGATAAAGTGACGACTGGTGCAGCAAATGACTTCCAAGTAAGTATTACTATTTTTTAATCTTTTTCGTTGTTGAATATGTGCTAACGAACTAGTCAAAAGTTGTTGATTTTTTAATTAAGAAATTAGAGATTTTTAAGAAATATATTTTCTTTTTTATGGTTTTTGAGAGAAAATTGTATCATTAACGGTCGATTATTGTTACTATTTTTATTGTTCCCTCGGATCCCGAGTGGAATATAAGGCTTCAACGGCACATCTCCACTATGTCCTATTCTCCACGGTCTTCTTTACCTGGTGGTGGTACCATGATCGCCCCCATAATCTCTCATCTCCTTCTCGCATAATTTCCTGCATGTCACATTCAGACACCCAACTTGTCGTTGCCCATTCGGGTTCCACTCGAGCGACGGTCTGCAGTAAGCCCGATGTCACCCAAAGTCTCCTTGGCGTGTATGTCTGATCCTTTTCCATTTTCGCCTACATATTTGTTGAGCAGTCGGCTTATGATTAGTTTGTCCCACCACTGCAGAGTTTCTTGTTTCAAATTCTTTTGATCTTCAGTATGCAGCAGCAAAGGTGGCAGCTGGGATAAAAGAAGTCTGCAGTGGCCTGTTGGAAATGCTTCTGGTGATGCGCAGTGCAAGTTTCTGACCTACACAGAAGCAGTGACTGACTTCAAATTGATGTTGAAAATACGAATCTTGCTCTTTATGCTGCTGCCTGAGTGAGTGCAGAAGATTTCTAAACAGGTTTCAGGTTGATGAAGGTGTATCTCGCCTTTCCGATTCTGGCTGGCTGGCTGGCTTTGACATCTTCATCCGTTTCGACTGCCTGTGGTTGAAGCTGTGCCTTCTAGATAAGTGAAGGAGGTAGGTAACCTCTGTTAAATCTCTCCCTTTGATAGTGATTAGTGCTGGTTGTTGTTGTTGTTGTGTGATGTTCGTTGGTTATCTTCCTCAACTCTGTCTTCTCTATGTTCACTTGGAGTCCTCTCCTCACTGCACCTTCTCTCAGTTTGTTGGTTTTCGTCTATGAATCTTTGAGTGTGTGTGTGTGTGACATTGAACATAAGTCATCAGCGAAATCTTGATCTTCTAGAGTATTCTCGACAGTTCAGTGAATTCCTTGTGCACAGTCTGGCGCATGATCTAATTTTTTTCCTTCACGTTCCCATGTGGAACATAGGTTTCAAGCTAGTGGCTTGAAGTTTCCGTAGAAGTGTTTATTTTTGGAGGATGAGGTTGCTAGCCTCATGACCAACCTTTCCTCTTTACCAGCATTATTTCTGGCTTAGCGAGGTAAAAGAGTGCTTCATCGGTGGCCGGGGATCGAACCCGCACCATGCGCATGGTCGACGAGCGTCTCAACTGCTATGCCACCGACGCACCGATCTAGTCCACCACAATTAGGGATATCATTAGCGGTAATCGACAGTCTTGTCCTACTCCTATATTCACTTCGAACGCCTCACTGAATGTTCCGTTGTGGATCACCTGATGCGTGGCATTGTCATATAGCTGTCGAGTGAGGTTGATGAAGATTTAGGGGATGCCATAGTGTTGAAGTAGTTTCTAAGTTGCTTCACCGTCATTGCTCTTAAAAGTATTCTCAAATTCGACCATGATAAGTACAGTTGCAATTGGATCAGCACATGGTTCGCCTCTCCTAAATCCAGCTTGTTCTGGCTGGCTGAGTTCTGCATCCAGTGCATCTTTTATTCTCCGCAGGATGAGATGACTTAGTATTTTACTTGGCGTCGACGAACGCATGATTCCGCGACTGTTGTTGTAGAGGCCTGAGTCGCCCTTCTTTGGTAGCTCAACGAGGCAGCCTTTCTTCTAATCAGTAGGTAGGTACCTTTTCTTCCTTCTGTTAACTAGTGACTAATACCAGGAGATTGTTGCAATGTTCTCTAGAAAACTGAGTAAATAAAGAAAAATTCGCCATTTTTGCTGTAATTCATACGATGGAGACAGGTCTCTCATCTCGACTACTTTCAGCCGGCTAATTTCAGGTTCGAATCCTGCACCCCCACCTACCTCAATCTGGATAACTAACTGGGTTGTATCATTAATCTTTACCCAATAATTGTGACTCATAGATTGGAACACTTAAGCACCTGCTCCAGGAACTAAGTTCAAACATAAATAATTCATGTGGTAATTAAGTGTTTCAGAAGAGTATATGTATATATAATTACCTTGTGTTCAAAAAATAAATTCCCATGGATTTATGAAGACGGGTTCCACAGTCCTGCCCCTAACCAATTCCTAACCTCAAACTAAGCATATGTCGTGTTTAAGTAGTATCACACCACACTTCATTCCACAATTGTTCTTCTTGAATAATATAGTTTCACATTTACCTGGTTCCACTGCTTTACATTCCAAAGTTATTGGTGCTTTTGCGCTTGTTTAGCACCTAAGGTTAATTAGTTTAACTCCACCTTCAAACAGTCAATAATTTTATGACTGGGTTTTATTTTAGCTAAATTATGGAGAGATTTGTAAAAAAAAATGTAACTGATATGCTAGAAATATGATTTATTAATTAAGACTCCTGTACTTGATATCTAACTCTACACTGATAACATATTTCTATTTCACCAAAGGTAATGGCGTGAGCAATGAAACAAAGACAGTTGTGGTTATACAAGTGTCGGTTGGCAGGGTTGTCTGTCTGTCTGTCTGGATTCAACATAGAACTTGGCACCGAAGTGCAGCAGTTCGAGTTGCCACCTTCCAAATAGCACAGAGGTAGACAAGAAGATGAGTGAAGAGAATTAATAGAGTTTGACAAATATAAGAGTGAAACAGAATGGGTAATGGTAGAAAGGAATATGAAAGATTACAGAGATTGAATACATCTGCGCCATTGACAACGATTTTGAGCCATGTCACCTATTGTCTCCAGCCATTGATTCCTAGAGTCCCGAGGGCCCCAACCCGGGAGTCTGCATCTCCCTACCTGACTCAGTTTAACTGTCAAGGATTTCATGGATTGATGCCATGTTTTTGTTTGGCCACCACTGGCTCTTTTCCAACCTGAACCTATATCAGCTAACAATGCCCGTCGGGGGAGGCGGTGGTTAGGCATGCGCACCACGTGACCTAGCCATCTTAGTCTATGTAACTTTATAACCTCGTCGATTGATTTTCCCTCTTTGCCCAACACTCTACGCCTAACGTCAACATTACTTATCTTGTGAAACCACCTAACGTGAGACAGAGATCGCAGACATCTATGATCGAAAGCAGTCAACCTTTTCATGTCTTCAACGCGTATTGGCCATGTTTCAGAGCCATAGAGAAGGACGGAGCGAACTGATGAGCAGTACACACGTCCCTTGGTTGATAACCGGATGTCACGCCTACGCCAGAGATGGTGTAAGTCAGCGAAAGCAGCTCGAGCTTTTCGGATCCGTGCTGAGATTTCATCGCCAATCAGTCCGTTGGTGCTAATACAACTTCCCAAGTAGGTGAAGTGGTCAACATGTTCTATCACTTCACTCCCTATCACTAAGTTAGGGGTTGACGTCGTCCAGTCCTGTAGCAGCATCTTACATTTTGCAGGGGCGAATCGCATGCCAAACATACGAAGATTGCTGCTCAAGGTGTTCAGAAGACTCTGCATTTTGTCAGCATCCTCCCCTAACAGGACTATGTCATCTGCATATTCTAAGTCCATAAGATTATTCCCTGGTAACAAGTCGATTCCTAAGTCACTACGTTCAGTTAAGGATACTTCCATTAGCATATCTATGATGAAGTTAAACAGAAATGGGGAAAGTGGACATCCCTGTCGGACACCACTGGTTGTTACCAATTCAGATGACAATTCCCCATAAGCCCTTACACGACTACGTGAGTTTGAATAGAGTGCCTTGATTAGTGCAATGTACTTTCTTGGCACTCCCTTCACAGTCAGACATTGCCATAGTACCTTTCGGTCCACGGAGTCGAAGGCCGCCTTCAAGTCAAGAAATATGACAATTGTTGGACGCCGAAAAGTGTGTCTATGTTCTAGAATCTGTCGAAGAGTGAAGATATGATCTATGCACCCTCTACCTGGTCTAAAGCCTGCTTGATTTTCCCTTGTCTGTTCCTCCCGAGTTCTGCTTAGTCTATGCATGATTACTGAGCCTAGGATTTTAGAGACTATGTTCGTTAGGCTGATCCCCCTATGATTATCACACGAGGACTTGTTTCCCTTCTTGAATATCGGTATAATAAGTGACTTACCCCAGTCTGATGGTACTGTCTCTGATTCCCAGACTTTGCCTAGTACCTCAGTTAATCTACAAACTAGTATGTCACCCCCATATTTAAACACCTCCGGAATAATTCCGTCGGGTCCTGCCGCTTTGCCTCGTTTCAAATTACTGATAGCTTTTGTAACCTCACCTACAGACGGCGGACCAGTGTCTATATCCCATTCGGGTACGTGGTGGATGGCGGGGAGGTTCAGTGTGGCTGTAGGCAAGTTAAATTGTTCCTCAAAGTGTTCTTTCCAGCGTTCAAGGCGTCTATCCTGAGAGCTAATTAAGGAGCCATTTTTCTCAGAAATAGTCTCACTTATGAATTGCCTTCTCCCGCCCGATTCTGTGATGAGTCTAAAGAGTTGCCTAGTGTTGCCTATCGCCAATGCTTTTTCCATCTCTTTCGCCTTTGTCACCCACCACTGTTCACGGTCCTTGCGGAGACTTTTAGTAAGTTTCCTTTTGTGCAGCTTTCGCTCCTCATTGAATTCGGAGCTCGCCGGAATAAGTCTTCTAGCATCTATCAGTTCGGATGAGGCAGTCGAAATCCAGTGGTTTTTACTCACCTTTGGATTTGTCTTATTCACAGCTTTTACAGCTGTATCTATAGCTGACTGAATATTCTTCCAGGCTTCTCCAGGGTGAGCACAGCTGTCGGATTCAGATATGCGTTTAGCTAGTTCTTCCTCAAATAGGGATTTAGTTTCCTGATCGAGCTGGGGGCGTGATGGTTTTACCGCCAGCTGTTTCCTACGTCCGTTCAGTCGTAAGCACACACGAGCCCGGACCAGTGCGTGATCGGTATCTACACACGTGTTCCAGAAGGAGCGACAATCTCCTACCGACCCACGCCAACGATAGCTTATTGCTATGTGGTCTATTTGTGTCCAGCGTTGGTTTGATGATGGGGGTCGCCAGGTTAAACAGTGTCTCTCCTTGTGTGTTGTGGTCATGTTCCGTAAGCGTACACATCTACAGTTATGTGGTGGGATAGAATTCACTTTTATGTAGTCTATTGTCAATCCTGAATAAACAACCACATCATGTATGTGTTGAATATGCTGCAATTTGACGGACAATCTACCAGAGTAGTCGACGCGAATTCCGAGGTAAACGAAGCGGTCGAACTAAGTTACATTCATTAGTTGTCTTGAATCCACCAGTAATTAAAAATACTTAGTGCAATTAAATTTGTAATTATCTGAATTCCGAATCAACACTAATTAAGTATTTTTTTGGCGGATGGTGACTGGCAGTGTGATCCAGGATGCTCATCTCGTCCAATGTGGGACTGTTTATTATCTGGGTGTACCTGTATTCTCCAATGAGTAATAGTGTGTCCCCGTTGGGGCTCGAACCCAGTGCTCATCGTTTCGAAGACCAAAGCATCATCCATTAAACCACTTGGGTCACGAGAGCCACATTTTATGTAACGGGTATCAGTCATTATTTAATTAAAATTTGGACTTTCCAGCTGATTGATTAGGACTGTTAACGAGTCCCAATTAGGACAAAATGCGCGTTGTCCTGGATCATACACTGCTAGTCACCATCCACCAAAATTACTCCAAGTTAGATTCTCAGACATCATTGAAGCATCCACACAAGGAGCTGACTTAACAACAGAGGCCCAACATTTCAATCCAATCAATCAATGGGAAAATCCAATTCCAATTAAATAACAAATTGAGTATTGTCTTACTGTCTAAGCAGGGAATAAACTTATACAGGTTTCATTCTCTAAATGGGTGATAAACAATGTAACGACAGAAGACAAGAGCCAGGAAACGGATCGTTTATTGAGAAAATGTGCGTCGGTGGCACAGTGGATAGGACTCTCGCCGACCATGCACATGGTCCGAGGTTCGATCCCCTGCCGACGCACACCCGATATCTATGGTTTGCCTGCAAAAGTTGGGCTACCGATATCCATTCTGAAAATCCCATACTTGTACCGAAAATACGGTATGAAATCAAGTTGTAATCAGAAATAAAATAAAATAAAAATATTTATAGATTTTTATGTACATTATTGTTAGCTGAGAAGCAACCTCTTCTGATTGGTTGGTTTCTTACTGAAGATCATTCCGTTATCGCTTTGTGGCCGTTCCTCAGAAAATCAAGCCATATATATCTGCGAACCGTATTTGCACCCGCTAAGTCTGCTGTGATATTGGCTAGTGATTTTCTCAAGGTTAAGTATTATTATTGTCTTTCTCATAACCCTGATTCGATATGTGAACATGGACGTAAATTGTCGCCTACAATCTTGGCTTGCAGCCAGCTCTCACCACAATAAAATATAAATTCGCTCCTTTTCAATCTTTCTTCGAAGTGTTAGTTTGTTGGGATTTAATTGATTTCAGGTTGGTCACAGATTGATATCAATTCGGGAACTATTGAAAATCTGTTTCGTCTTTAACTTGCACTCTTCAGAAGTACATATCCATTCGTCCACCAGGAATCACTCAGCCACTTTGACGGAATCCGATGGCCCATGAATTCTAACTTGTAACTATCATTTTTTGCTATTTTTAGACATCAGCCACTTTCACTGTCGAATTTTTATCCTTACACTCGACCTGGTGGACACTACTGGTCACAACTTCTAACTAGAGCTCCATTAGGTTTGTACATATTCTCCTTGCTAATATAACTAAGTGTGTGTGTGTGTGTGTGTGGGAAAAAGTGATGGAAAAAGCACCGGCGATAGGCAACACTAGGCAACTCTTTAGACTCATCAGGGAAACGGGTGGGAGAAGACAAATCATTAGTGAAACAATCTCGGAAAAAAGCGGCACTATAATTAGCTCCCAGGATAGACGACTGGATCGCTGGAAAGAGCACTATGTGGAGCAGTTTAATTGGTCTACAGCCATGTTCAACCTGCCGAACATCCAACACCTCCCTGAATGGGATATAGACACAGGTCCTCCATCCCTAACTGAGGTTACTAAAGCTGTCACCAATCTGAAACACTCCTTTGAAGTCGAGGTTCACATAAAGTAACTTTTTAGTACGGATGGTGTCTCTTGCTTTTGGATTTTCGCCGTTTGATGTTTTTGTCTACGAATCTTGATGGGTAGCCGTTTTGTATGAAGATTTCTTTCAGGAAGTTTAGTTCTTCCTCCATGGTATCGGAGCTGCAGATTCGTCTGACGCGTCTGACCACAACGTAAGAGCTAAATCCCGATTTCAAGAATAGATACTACCTCTGTAGCCATTGACTTATTTTGAATTTTGGCTACTTCGTATCAATCTTCGTCTCTATACTACTGATAAATGTTGTCAGTAGTACAACGCCATAACATTCTATTTATTTCTTTATTTTGTTACGTGGTTGGTACACGTGATTTTTATAATTTCTATAGGTTGTTTAGTGTTTTCACTGCTTTAAATATTACTAAATAGTGTCCACTTAGCATACATATATGCGACAGTACAAATATTGCTACAACTATTGACATTGATGAAACTTTGAGGTTTTATTTTTTGATATTTTTCTTTGTCACACGACTGACCTTTCAAGCTAACATATTTTAAATATAATTACTTTGTCAAAAGTAATAGACCTTGCTTGGCATATATTTTTTCATACTAATGCAGCAGTATTTACTGATTAGTTACAGGTATTTTACTGTCATTCTTTTGAGTTCCTAGGAGAACTTCAGGAGTCACTAGCAGTTGTGAAGTTGCTAGCTTCATGTCTAACCTTCCATTTCTACTAAGCTTACTCCTAACTAAGCATGGTTTAGAAAGGCTTGCGTCCCTCAGCCGAGAGTTGAACCTTGGACCATGTGTGTGTGGTTACAGATTAGGGAGTGAAAACAATCATTCGTATGTCATAGCCTTAATTCTCTTGAAGGCCAATCAGCTTGCTTACTTCATTATGGCTGATATTTCTTGGTCATGCATAATCAACAGTTCCCCCAGCCTTATGAGGCGACAAAGGTTTACTTATTATTGATTTATCAAAGTAAACTTGGCACTTTAGGGACACCAAGAGATCTCAAAATTTGTGTCAGGGCTGGGATATTAATCGAACGCCTAGACTGATGCAAGTGGTTGCCTTAGGGGGTCCACCCTCAGAGCCTTCAACTTGAAGTCTAACCCACAAAGGCAGTGGATTAGTGTCTCAGGAGCCACGTTTCTACGGTTCCCGATGATGATAGTAACAGGTTAATGTGCTATTCGGTCATTTTGGATTCTGATACCCTGTACATCGTAGGTTTGGAATGAGGGTTTTCTAGCTCGCCCTAGCTGGACGAGTATGTCCGCCAGTTTGGTTTTATTATTATTATTGTTCCTTTGGGTTCCTAGTGAAACATAGGGCTTCAACTACACGTCTCCACTTGCTTCTGTTTCTGCTGTACTTTTCACCTGCATCCATGTTAGTCCATACTGTTTCAACTCCTCTTTACACGATCTCCTCCATGTCACACTTGCATTGACGACCAACTCCCCGCTTCCCTTTCGGGTTCCAATCGAGCTATGGCCTGACGTGAGCGCGATGTCACCGAGCGGTCTCCTCAGCGAGTGTCCATCATCCATCTCCACTTTCTCCTGCATATTTGTTGGTTGGCGATTGGTTCTTGTTTTGTTTGTTCCCATAGTTTCTTGTTGGTGATTCTTTCCAGCCCGGCCTGGCCATCTGATCTTCAGTATAGATCCAGTGAAGACAGTTGTTGGTTGATAAAGGTCTGGTCTGCAACAGGCTGTTGGAAATATTCTTTGTGACCCGCCCGCCCGCCAAGTTTGTGATTCGTATAGAAGAGCTGACTGACTTGATGTTTGTATTGAAAATCCGACTGGATTTTGTTGTTGATGCTGGCTGAGTGACGATGATTGGCTTTCCAGATTGGTTTCAGGCTGATGAATGTGTTTCTCGATGCCTTCCCGATTCTTGCTCGATTTGACATCCTCGTCCGTCCCGACTTCCTGTAGTTGAGACAATGCTCCCTAGATAAGTGGATGAAGTAACCTCTTTCAACCAGTTTGGTTTTAAGCACTAAGTATTCACTTTTGAAAGGAACACCCGTGATGCGTTAAGGTAGTGAATCGTTCTTACCTGGTTCAAAAACGCTATGAACACACGTTGGGACCGAATTCTCTCCACCATAGGCTGTACCTAGTCATTTATGGTTTATGAATTGTGCAACTCGATTATCGTATTTAAGACTCTACGTCTGTCTTCTATAAGTGAGATGTAGTCTGTCACAATTGAGTTGAAATGCTTACTTCACTAGTCCCTTTTGTGTATGTGTGTGTGTGTGTGGTTATTTTCATTACATCAATTCCAATTATATAACTGTCTCATCATTTAAACAATGTTTGCCTTTGTCTCTTTTTTCCCCCTCATAACAGAAAGCTACCGCTTTAGCTCAAAATATGGTCAAGCGTTTTGGTTTTTCAAGTAAATTAGGCCCAAGAGTTATACCAGATACTCGTGATGGCCAGCTAAGTCAAACAACACGTGATCTTATCGATAAAGAAGTCGATCAGTTGCTCAACGAATCATTGACTCGTGTACGCAACCTACTCTCAAGTCATAGTAAACAGCATAAATTATTGGCTGAAGCGCTACTCCACTTTGAGACATTGACAAAAGATGAAGTTGTCGCTGTGTTGGCTGGTAAAATGAAACCGCCGAAAAATTCACCTCAGACATCACCACCCTCACCACCACCTCCTTCGTCGTCACCATCGCCGTCTACAAGTCTCCTGCCCCAACCTGAAATTCATGTATAATTAATTTCGTCAAATGTGTACACTCTACTATATTGTGCTGTGTTTGATCGATTTATTGATTGATTGATTCATTGACTTCATTCTGTTGCCATATTACTATCATTAATCCATAATTAAAAATTTTCTTCTCACCTTTTTTGTGCGCGTGTGTGTGTGTCAAAGTCTAAGGTATTTATTATTTCGTTCATCCTTCTTTCTGTATCATTTTTACTATATTCTACTTCCGCTTTTCTCCGCACACATACGCACGCACACACTCCCTTTCTTTTCTCCTGTCTTTTCTTTAATTTATCCTACCTTCAGGGAATAGTGATTTCCACACTCTGTTTCTCACTTCTTTCCTGTTTTCCTCACCTACAGAAGGAATAATAAATATAAAGCTTGAGGCGATTGCTTTTCCTGGATTGTGTTATATTTGTAACTGTGATGTTGTTCACTTTATTATTAGATATTGGACGTTTATTAAAAAAAATAATCGATCGTCAAAGAAGTTTTCGGTTTGCCATAGTTTTAGAGTTCGTCTGTATGATGAATACATTATCAGTGTATGTGAAGTGGGCAGCTATCTTTGATCATAGGTGTCTCCGTTCCATCTCTCGTGTTATTATTTTATTAGTATTTTCTTGGGTTCCGAGTGGAACATAGGGAGCTTCAACAGCAACAGGGCTTCCACTTTCTTCTATTCTCTGTTGTCCTCCTCAGCTGCGTCCACGATTACCCATAATCTGTCGTTACCTCCTCCTCCCCAGACGATCTTCTCCATGTCATCCTTGCACTGATGACCCACTCGTCGCTTCCCATTTGGATTCCATTCGAGAGTCATTCGATGACCTCCACAACGTGTGCTCGATCCATCTCCATTTTCTCCTGCATATTTGATAAACGATCGGCTCCTGGTTGGTTAGTTCCATTGCCGAGTTCCTTGTTGCTAATTCTTTCTGGCCGACAGGCTATTCGATCTTCAATACTAAGCCAGAGAAGGTATCTGATGATAGAAGTCTGTAACCTGTTGGAAATCTTTTTCGTAATACACACGTTAAGTTTCTGACCCATACAGTGACTGACTTCCGAATCTTGTCTTTATGCTGGCTGAGTGAGTGCAGAACATTTTCAATCTAGTTTCACATTGAATGCCTTTCCGATTCTAGCTTTGATAACATCCGTTCCGCCTGTGATTGAAACGATGTTTCGTAGATAATTGAAGGAAGTGACCTTCAAATTCCTCCTGTCGATGGTGATTGGTGCCGGTCGCTGTTGGTCTTGTTGGCTGGTTGTCTTCATCACCTCGGTCTTCCCTATGTTCGCCTAGGGTTCTGTCTTCCCTGCTTCTTCAGGCAGTTTTGTGGTTGTCTCCTGTGAATCTCTGAGTCTGTGTGACGTTAAACATAAGTCAGCGGCTCTCGTCGTAGGCGGTGGTCAGAAATGCTAAGGTTAACCGTAAAGGTAGACGACATGTCAGTCGCTGAGGTTATGAAGCTGGGACAATGGACTGAGATGGACAGGATACGTTACGCTTTCCTCATCAAGTAATAACAGGCTAACATAGGACTGACTGGGTTCTAAAGAGTTTCGGGGTGGTCAAATCAAAACTTGGCTTCCTTAATTCATGACGTTTTGCACACTTGGTTTGAACCAGTCACGTAGAGAGTTGTAGACTGTCTGGCTGAGGTCTTCAGGATACTAAGAACTGATTTCCGGACAGTGTTGATGATATGGCTTAAAATCGTTCTCAGTGGTGCTGATGCAGACAGTCTTTGCGGTCCCTTAGATCCATCTAGTTGTTCTGTCATCCTGAGGATCCCAGCTAGTTTGCAGCTCCTCCCGTGACTAGCTCACACTTATTGTGAATATCTTCATGGTTTGGTTTGGCCACCTTTAATTTTCTTTCCAACTTAATCTTATGTTGGGTAACGTTGTCCGTCGAGAAAGGCGGTGTTCTTAGTCGATTTAGCTTCACAACCTCATCGATCAAGTAACCCTCCCTACCTAGCACTCTATGTATAGCCTCAGTATTGTTGTTCATTATATGATGCCACTGAACACTGGAAATAGGATGCAAACATTTGTGATCAAAGACAACTAGCCTCTTCAACTGCTACATCTCATCACCGCGAAGAAGAACAAAGCTAGTCGGTGTGTAGTACACACATTGTTTGACCGATAAAAATCACCTGTACTAAGATTCCGTTGGCAATCAGTCCGTTAAAGCCGAAGCAACCTTCCAAATCATTGAAGTGTTCAACACACTGCACAACTTCACTTCCGATCTTTAAACTAGGAATATGTGGGTGTAGTCCAGTTACAGTCCAGCAGTATCTTACGCATTTGAGAGTAAGTTGTTAATCGCATTCCAAACATTTGAAGTTATTCTTTTCCTAGGAGGTCAACACCATCCGCATTCTTTAAGTCGATAAGACGGTTGTCTGAATATTAATGATAATAATATGACACTGTATTGAAGCTCAATGGTAAGTGCACTTAATGATGGTCATAAGGGTTAATAATATTGATTAGATACCAAAAACTTTGTTAGTTAATGTTAGACCTTGTGTCCACAAAGAATGTATCACATGTCCCTACCTCTACTGATAGATATAATGGATGGTTATTAATTTCAAAAGATACAGAAATTATGATTAATCTCATGTTTTATGAGGATAATATTATTTCAACAGTGGTCGATAGATTTCGATCAATAATCAGTCAACTCTTAAATGACAATAAAGTTACATAAATCCGGTTCATTCATTTTGAAAATTCAACACATATTTCAAACACATAATATCTATAAGAAAAGAAGAAATTTAAGGCCTCTCCTGAACAAAAGGAAAAAGAAAGTTCATTTTATCAATGAATTTAATTTTTAGACATGAGTGAGGCACAGAAGTCACCGCAAGGTGTTTTCGCGCATCATATTACAAACGTGACAGCAGATATTCCAGTTGTGTGAAATACAAGTTAAAAAACACCTTTATATCACGTAGATGTAACATTTGATATTATTACAGTGTCCTTGTAAACCTGTAATACAAAAGTATACAATAATAATATTATTATTATTTCCTTTAATTCCTAGAGGAACATAGGGCTTCAGCCAAACGTCTCCATTGCGTTTGGTTCTTTGCTCGAGTTTTCACCTGGCTCCATGTCTGCCCACATGCTTTCATCTCCTCTTCACATGACCTGCTCCAAGTCACCCTAGCACTGACTACCAACTCGCCGCTTCCCTTTCGGTTTCCACTCGAGCGATGGCTTGTGTAGCGATGTCACTCACTTGATGTTTGTTTGAGGTGTTGTTAATGATGCGGTGCCAAGTTTCTGACTCCTATAGTAGCACTGACTTCATACTGGAGTTGAAAATCCGGATCTTATTTTTGATGGTGAGTGCTGTTGACCTCCAGACAGACTCGAGAGTAATGAAAGGTTGTCTTGCTTTGATATCCTCGTCAGTTCCGTTCGCCTGTAATTGAAACGATGATTCCCAGGTAGGTGGGTAGGTAAAGGAGGTTGTTTCTTTCAGGTTCCTCCCATTTATGCTGGCTGATTGTTGTTTGCTGTTGGTGCTGGCCAGGAATCTTCACCACCTCTGTTTTCTCTATGTTTACTTGGAGTCCTATCTTTGACGCTTCCTGTGCCAACTTGTTGCTTTTCACTTTCATATGTTCCAGTTTGTAGGAAATCAGACATATATCATCGGCGAAGTCCAGAGATTGTTAAGACAGCTCGTAAACCAATATGGCATTGAATGGCACCTATGCAACGCTGAGAGCCATTGTCAGAAGTTCTAAGCTATTATGTCTGGAGGTTAAGAGCCATTAAAAATGAGGGACTACTGGACGAATGTTTCGTCCTGGTTTGGGACTTTTCAGTAGTGTATGCATACATGACCTCGTTAAGGATTGAACTCAAGACGTCTGGAGACAAGCTCGTTGACCATTCAATCAGTGGTATGGAATCCTATGGTCTACGAGTTCGGAATATATGGCACCACCGCTAACCAAGGTCATCGGTGAGTATCTCTCCTCACATCCAACTTGATGGACCCTCCTGATCACAACTTCCGACCAAGTTAAACTTTAAACACCACTACCTACCAATCGAGTACGATCGAACCAATCACCTTGAAACGCTCACTGAGCAAGTTAGTGAAGAAACCTGGCCAATAGTGTTGTCATCATCAATAAAATATTCTCATCGGAGTGTTATGTTATTAAATGGGATTTCTGGAAAGTTTCGGTTTGGGTTTGAGAAAGATTAAGTTACCCTTTAAGCCAAGGAGAAGTTGGGGTTAGGTTAACCTGATAAGGGCGACATTAGGGTTGGTTTGATTTAGATTATGGTTAGTTTAGGGTTAGAAGACCTAAATAATTACATGCATAGAATGTCGTTAAACCATTCTGTTGATATTAGAATAGAACTTGTTCACTGTGGTAGGGTGTAATTTCATTGTGGATAACATTTATTTAATGATGACGTTTCGTGCACAATTTATTGCTCAGTAAATATTACTGTATAACACTGTGAGACTTTACAAATTAATTTTACCCACAATGAAATTATACTCTGTTCATACTCCAACCTGGAGCTCAGCTACTTTTATCGCATATGAGAGAAACGTATCCTCTGTAACACTTTTCTACAGTTTTATGCATTTTTTTTCATAACTATAGATATATTCCATATGCATAAAATGTCTCTTTTACATGATTGGTGCATTTGAGGTCATTCGCTGATTGGTAGATAGTTAATTGTGCTTAAAGTTTAACTTTGCCCAATTTTCCACTGTAGATAAAGTCAACTTCATCCTGCAGTCGATCACTAATTAGTGAGTACTAGATTAATTCTCAAGTATTGTTAAGTGGTCATTCTTGAAGTCACTTAAATCCTTGCATACCAGCACTTGAATACTGCCTTGGACCATCTCGACCTTTTGTAGATTCAAAGTCAATCTGAACGAAGATTATCTTTTTCAATGAGTTCTCCTCTTCAGGTTCTTACAATTATAAAATATAATATTTGTTGTCGTCACAGTAATGGCCAGTTATCTTGGGATACACTTTAGGTAGAATAAGAGATTGGTTATGGAGAGTTAAAATAAGTAGTCGCATTTTTGTGACAAATGTGCCAGTCTGAATTCAAGTACAAAATATATATTGTGAAATAGGAGACAGCGGTGGTGATTAGTCCTAAGAGATTCGTAGAATGTGAGGTAGGAAAAATTGGCAGGTTAGTTCAAGGTTATAAAAGGTGTCAGGGGAGTGAGTGGCTAGTAAAAAGTGGTATGTATTAAAGAGGCGGAGATAGGAAGACTGCAATGAGAGGTGGTTCATAATCAAATAACGAATATGCGATATGAAACAGATGGAGGCATCATATTGAGAAAGGAGATAATATTACTAATAATAAGTCCGGATAATATGAATGGAAAATTGGATAGTATTGAGAGAATGTTTGAAGGAAGAGTATCACTTATAACGAGTAATAAT